GGAGGCCGAAGCGTCCCTTCTGAAATCTTACTAGAATTCAAATTTTGTCCAATTTGGATCTCCAATTTTGACTGCTGCTGCCTCTAATAAAGCAAGAAACCAGCAGCCAGACACCTTTTTCGAAACACAGCCGAAACAGCAAAACATCGCCTAATTTCCTAACAGGTTCCTCGGAAGGAATCCTACTGGAAATCCAATTTTGTCCAATTTGATCTCCAATTTTCATTGCTGCTGCTGCTGCCTCTAATAAAGCAAGAAACCAGTAGCCAGACACTTTTTTCGAAACACAGCCGAAACAGCAAAACACCACCTAATTTCGTACCGAAAATGACGCAAAATCAATCGCAATAATAGGTTTCCCGGAGGCCGAAACGTCCCTTCTGAAATCCTACTAGAAATCCAATTTTGTCCAATTTTGATCTCCATTTTTGACTGCTGCTGCTGCCTCTAATAAAGCAAGAAACCAGCAGCCAGACACCTTTTTCGAAACAGCCGAAGCAGCAAAACACCACCTAATTTCGTGCCGAAAATGACACAAAAGCAATCGCAATATCAGGTTCCCCGGAGGCCGAAACGTCCCTTCGGGAATCCTACTAGAAATCCAATTTTGTCCAATTTTGATCTCCATATGATCTCCATTTTTGACTGCTGCTGCTGCCTCTAATAAAGCAAGAAACCAGCAGCCAGACACCTTTTTCGAAACACAGCCGAAACAGCAAAACACCACCTAATTTCGTGCCGAAAATGACGCAAAATCCGTCGCAATAACAGGTTCCCCGGAGGCCGAAACGTCGAATGAAAAGGAAGAAACCAGCAGCCACACACCTTTTTCGAAACACAGCCGAATCAGCAAAACACCACCTAATTTCGTGCCGAAAATGACGCAAAATCAGTCGCAAAAATTGGCGTACGCAAACTTTGATAGCATGTTCTGGTTCTCCTGAAGTAGAAAACAAGCGCAGGGCCGCTTTGCGTCAACAGTTTGTTTCCTTTGACACCACACACTCACTGGCTGTTGACTCTGCTACTGATTATGTGGTTTGCTCTATTTGTAATGGTAACAAGCATCCGAAGGAATGGAAATCATTTGCGAGAACAAGATGTCCTGGCAAAACAGCTAAGCCTACAGAATCTTCTGGTGGTACCAAGAGAAAGGCTGAGCTCAGAGAACAGTTTATGAAAAAACGTGGCCGGTCTGCGCCATCTGCGCCCGAATGAGGTAGAGCATTGTGGCCCCGTTTCATCGACAGGTGAAAGTGGGCCCTATTCCAGACCCGACAGGTTCCCCGGAGACGGAAGCGTCCTTTCTGAAATCGTACTAGAATTCAAATTTTGTCCAATTTGGATCTCCAATTTTGACTGCTGCTGCTGCCTCTAATAAAGCAAGAAACCAGCAGCCAGACACCTTTTTCGAAACACAGCCGAAACAGCAAAACATCGCCTAATTTCCTAACAGGTTCCTCGGAAGGAATCCTACTGGAAATCCAATTTTGTCCAATTTGATCTCCAATTTTCATTGCTGCTGCTGCTGCCTCTAATAAAGCAAGAAACCAGTAGCCAGACACCTTTTTCGAAACACAGCCGAAACAGCAAAACACCACCTGATTTCGTACCGAAAATGACGCAAAATCAATCGCAATAATAAGTTTCCCGGAGGCCGAAGCGTCCCTTCTGAAATCCTACTAGAAATCCAATTTTGTCCAATTTTGATCTCCATATGATCTCCATTTTTGACTGCTGCTGCTGCCTCTAATAAAGCAAGAAACCAGCAGCCAGACACCTTTTTCGAAACACAGCCGAAACAGCAAAACACCACCTAATTTCGTGCCGTGCCGAAAATGACACAAAAGCAATCGCAATATCAGGTTCCCCGGAGGCCGAAACGTCCCTTCTAGAATCCTACTAGAAATCTAATTTTGTCCAATTTTGATCTCTAATTTTGACTGCTGCTGCTGCCTATAAATAAGCAAGAAAGCAGCAGCCAGACACCTTTTTCCAAACACAGCCGAAACAGCAAAACGCCACCTAATTTCGTTCGTGCTAGAACCCCGAAAATGCCTAACCTAACTTCTGAAACCGATAGAAAATGATGCTTTTGGCTCCTTTTTCCTCTTGCTGCTGATGACTTTTGGCCACCTTTACATCCGGTCCGCAAATGGGAAAACACCATGGAAAAAATCACCTCCCGACAGCAAAACACCATGCCTCTGAAGGACGGAGAAGCCCCAAAATTGCACCTCGAAAATGCCTAACGTAACTTCTGAAACCGATAAAAAATGATGCTTTTGGCTCCTTTTTCCTCTTGCTGCTGCTATGACTTTTGGCCACCTCTACATCCGGTCCCCAAATGGGAAAACACCATGGAAAAAATCACCTCCCGGCAGCAAAACACCATGCCTCTGAAGGACGGGGAAGCCCCAAAATTGCACCTCGAAAATGCCTATCGTAACTTCTGAAACCCATAGAAAATGATGATGAAATGATGCTTTTGGTTACTTTTTTCCCTCTTGCTGCTGCTATGAATTCTGGCTACCTTTTTTGCCTGCTGCTGCAGAGGCTCCTGCTGCTTCTGCTGCTTCGGCTGGCTGCTGGTGGCTGCTGGTGGCTGCTGGTGGCTGCTGCTGCTGCTGCTCCTGCTCTTGCAACTCCTTCTATTCAAAAGACAGCTCCCGGATGGGAAAACACCATGGCAGTGAAGGACGGACAAGTATCAAAATTGCGCCCAAAAACTCCCTAATGTAACTTCTGAAACCCATAGAAAAGGATGTGATTTTAGCTACTTTTTCCTCCTCCTGCTGCTGGTGGCTGCTGGGCCTCCTGTTCCTGCTGCTGCTGCTGCTGCTCCTGGTCTTGCTACTCCTTCTATTCAAAAGACAGCTCCCGGATGGGAAAACACCATGGCAGTGAAGGACAGAAAAGTATCAAAATTGCACCCAAAAACTCCCTAATGTAACTTCTGAAACCCATAGAAAAGGATGTGATTTTAGCTACTTTTTCCTCCTGCTGCTGCTGCTGCTGCTCCTGCTCTTGCTACTCCTTCTGTTCAAAAGGCATGCAGCTCCTTCTATTGAAAAAGCAGCTCCCGGATGGGAAAACACCATGGCAGTGAAGGCTGCTGCTGCTCCTGGTCTTGCTACTCCTTCTATTCAAAAGACAGCTCCCGGATGGGAAAACACCATGGCAGTGAAGGACGGAAAAGTATCAAAATTGCGCCCAAAAACTCCCTAATGTAACTTCTGAAACCCATAGAAAAGGATGTGATTTTAGCTACTTTTTCCTCCTGCTGCTGCTGCTGCTCCTGCTCTTGCTACTCCTTCTGTTCAAAAGGCAGCTCCTTCTATTCAAAAAGCAGCTCCCGGATGGGAAAACACCATGGCAGTGAAGGACGGAAAAGTATCAACATTGCGCCCAAAAACTCCCTAATGTATACTACTCCTTCTATTCAAAAGCAGCTCCCGGATGGGAAAACACCATGGCAGTGAAGGACGGAAAAGTCTCCCTAATGTAACTTCTGAAACCCATAGATAGCTGTAGTAGTAGTAGTAGTAGCAGCAGTGCAGTACATCTTTTTCCCTTACGCGCTCCCCCTTGCGTCGGCCGGGGTCGGCGGATTTCACTGTAATGTGACACAGCTATCAAATGAAATAAACAGAATATACAATGTAATAAAATTGTCATGATACTAGTAGAATAAGACTAAAGATAACATATACCATGTGAACCAATATACTACATTTAGGCATGTATACTTATACATTTGAGATGGAACGCAAAGTTTCAGGGTCGTCCAGTCCGTGCATGCGTCTTGCCAGCTTGCCAGGTGAGGCCATGAACTTCTCCGTGAATGAGCTGGGAGCAGACCCGCGCCGCAAATTGATCAAAAATCAAACCAATTTGTTTGTGGCTGCCAAGCGTGGAGATGTCGAGAAAGCCAAGGCGGGAATCCCCATTTTTTTGCGGAAAATGATTAAGAATGACATAGACGGCGGGAGGATTCCGGACCCTTGGGCCTGTGGCGTGTTGCAGACATGTTGATGCGTTGCAACACATTGGTGTCCCTGTCCGTGTACTTTGTATCCTCCTAGATTTGACCTGGACAGGTCCTGATTGAGACCTATGGCCTTGATGTCAACCATCAAGATGAGAACGGACAGACCTGTCCCTCGGCATGTGAAAGCAGGACTTCAAACGCTGAGAAGTGAGGTTAACTGAGGTTAACCATTGAGCATTGGTTGTTTCCCGGAAACCCAAACAACTGTGAGGCTTTGTTTTTCCCAAACATGTTTGAACAAAGACATCGTTGCTAGGTTTTTTGGGCATCTTTCAGGTACATCTACGTTTGAGGTGAATGACTCAACTGGCCATTCAATGTCTGTGTTTACCCAAAACCATCTCAAACCCAACATTTGGGTGGTCAAACTCAAAACCTATGTTCCCCCAAAATCGCCAACCGTGCAAATTTTGGGGAATACCAGAATCTTGACCCATCTGAAGGGAGGCGGAACAATGTCAGGGACGATCTCGCAGATGAAGTCAATGATGCATATCGGTATCACAGGGGAGACGATCTCCGCATGTCACTCCAATGGTTCACGTTGTTGAAGAGTCTGCTAGAATTGCTGGCCTGGGATTCGCACTAACAAAAATCCGGTCTTTGGTGTTGTGTCACGCTCTTGCTAGTCATGCATATCGAATCTAATCCATTCATCGGGCACACCATGGATTGAGGCCTCTACATCTGCATTGAATTGCAGAATGAGCTTTTGCGTCACAAGAATTCCTCCATATGTTGCAGCATATATGTTGCAGCATATATGCTGCAACATATGGCAGATTTCTGTGACGCAAAAGCTCATTCTGCAATTCAATGCAGATGTCTAGAAAAAGATACTCGGCTTGGAGGTGACTTGATGATGGCTGCGTCAACAACTGCAATGGACTGTCCGAAAATGTGAAGATACCATTGATGGAAACCATTCTGCATAGAGTCTCACAGTCTCATGTTCGTTTATCAAATTGGCAAATTGAGGATCTCTAGCAATTTGACCACATTTGACCTGGATATTGCAGACTCTTCCAATCGCAGTGTGGTGGCCTTGTGTCATAGCTCTGGCGTAGGACAAGAATGGAAGGACTGCCCTCGCGTTCCTTCAGCAGAAGCCGAAGATAGAACAGAATCCGCAGGTGCTCAAGTTGCTGCAGCTTGGCTGTGGGACAAGAGGTGTGTTACTTTGCAATTGCTTGATAGTTTGCCCCAAATGGTTTCGAAAACAAGTAGAGCGTAGAGCTTTCGGATCTTTTCTAGCTTGCAGACTCACTCTTGCAAGTAACGCCCCCAGTTTCATCATTTCAGTTCCTGTTGGCCCCTTCACCGCTTCCGAGGGCAAATGCTGTGAAGGAGGCGCAGAAGGAGCGCGCTGCAGCGGCGCGGGAACAGAAGAAGCTGACAAAGCCCGCAAGGACCCTGCAGGGAGGATTTCTGCCCGAGTTTCAGGGTGTGATTTCAGATAAAAACCAATGGGAAGACCAGTGGTATTTTTAGCCAACAGAAAAACACTCTTTTTCGTTCTGCAATGCACAGTTGCGGCTTGGCACAATGTGGTCAGGTCTAGTCAGGTTTGGACATCTTCCAAAGTCCCAAAGTTTGTCATCATTTTGCCCATTACAGTTTTGGGATGTTTTTGGAGAAAACATGAAAGTTGGAATTTTTCGCCCACAATTTCCCCTTGTTGTATGAGTGAGCCAATGTCTTCCCGCTCAGTGCAGGGCTGCAGCGGCGGCGAAGGAGAAGAAGGAGCGCGCTGCGGCGGCGAAAGAACAGAAGAAGCGGGAGCAAGAAGCCAAAGTTGCCAAAGCCCGCAAGGACCCTGCAGGGAGGGTTTCTGCCCGAGTTTCGGGGTGTGATTTCAGATGAAAACCAATGGAAAGACATGGTATCTTTAGCCAACAGAAAAACACTCTTTTTCGTTCTCGTCCGGTGGTCCGCGGGGGGATGGAAACATGAAACAATCCAGCAATTTGGGAAACCAACGGGGATGCTATTGTTGTTTTTGGCAAATTCCATAGTTCAGAACTGTGGGAATGAGCTGCTTGATTCTTGGTTTCAAGTTTCGGACATTTCTTGATTTTCAGCAGGCTTCACGTTGCGCCGAGGGGAAATATCTTGTGCTCCTCATCCTACCCTCTGGTAATTTAACATAGCTATGAAAATCGCAATTTTTAATGGGTAAATCCACTATAAATGGCCATTTTCAGAGGGTATGTGGAATGATGATTTGTGGCGACGAACATTTGCCAGATGGGCAAAACGACTGAACCGTAAACGGTTCCATCAGGGGATTTTAGCCAGCAACCAATCACAGAACCAGCAACCTGTCGGAAAATATAGACATAGAGAAGATCCAAAGATAATGTGATTTGCTGTGGATCACAAAAATCCCCTATGATGCTACCACTATGAATGAGCCGAGTATGATTCCAGTAGACAGGGGGCACTCACAGCAGAATCGGATCAATGGGTTGATAGATATGCAAGGATGTCTAAATTGCTGTGCAACAAAATCATAAAGTGCCTGCAGGTTTCTCCGTTGCTTTCAAATTGCAATTCTCTTTGAATTCGTCTGTGCCTTCACGGAATTTCCACAAGACTTGTCCCACGCCGAACCGCCTCCCATTCTTCCACAGCGTTCCAGGACAAGGCCCATGCCACTGCAGCCGAAGCCCAACAGACGCGTGCAGAGGCTGGCGCCTCTCAGAGCTCGCAAACCAGGAAGCGAGAAGCCAGCTCGGAGGAAGATTCTTCTTCCAAGAGGTGGAGAAAGATGGGTGTGTTCGATGCCCCTCTGGTCTGTTATTTTATGTTATTTTGTTGTCCACTTGATGGTTAAATGGCGGGTTTATCATGGTTTATAGATGTTTATAGTTTATAGACTAATTTATAGGTTCACTTGGAGTTGCATGGGGCTTCGAGAAAACACATCTAGTTCTGGTTGGGTGAGTTTGCCAACCATAAATGGACATTATGCTGGAAAACGGGGTAGAACTCATGCAACTGCTTGATGGTTGTATTGGGCGATGGTGGTTGATGGTACTTGATGTTGTTGGATGGCGGTGGATCGCGGTTGGTGCCAAGTTAACTTGATCAATCGGTGAAAGATGAGGGAAAGGTAGCTGAAAACCATGGCTTACCGAATGATGGTTTCTTTGATGAGCCACAGTTGCCAAACTGGAAATGTTTGTGGACCTGTGTGGACTGGACTTGCCTGGGACTCTTGTACTGTAGATCCACCAAGGATCATTGGAGAGGATAGAGCCATTTGATTTCGTTTGCCGTAGAGTGCGGCAAGGCTGAAAAAAGGTTTGCTGAAGAGGAAGCCTGGTCAGGCGATCATGTTGTCTCCGGACGATTTCGTGTTGAGAATCTTTGCTCCTCGTTGAATCATGTTGAATCATTCTTTCCTTTCATTTTTTTTTCATCCATTTTCATCCTCAATTCCTACTGTTGGTGTGTCATATTGTTCAGTGAAGTTCTGCACTCCACTGATCCTGCTGTCAATCAACTTTTCACCATGGCAGGGGAGAAAAGTTTGGTTTTAGTAAGGAACTTTGGCAAGGGGCAGGGGTGTTAACCTACTGCTGGTTGATGGCTGATGGTATACTGGGAACAGCATTTTTTTTTACATTTTTTTTTGGGACTGATGGGTTTATTATACATGAATGTGGGAAAAACCCATGGGTCTATTCTTGGGTGTTCAACCACCGAACATGGCATGGTTGATGGTGGAACCTTTTATTGGGTTCTTGCTGCTTTTTTGGTGTGAGTTTACCAGGTTACCAAGGGTGTTGATGGGGGACGCATTGAGGTGGTTTTTGTTTCTGTGTCACGTTTCTCACCCTCTGCCCTGGCCACGGACAGGCAGAAGTTTACGTGGTCGGGTGACTCTGGGACGCTCAGCGATGAAGGGTTGACGTGGACTTGTCTCAAAACGGGGAATATATATATAATATTGCTATATACACATATTTATACATATATTACATATAGAGATATTATTCTGAGTGGTGTTGAATGAGCCCAGTAATAGCATGAATGGGGGAGTGAGCAACGATGGTATATCATTGTTTTGTATTTGTACAGCCTTTACGCTCAAGGCAACCACCTAGGCTGGAAGTTACCCCCCAAGCATGTGGCTTGGGGGTGGTTTGAACCCCGAGGGGTGGTTCAAACTGAAGATCAGGTCGGGGCAGATCATTGAGGGATCTGTCCGCGACGATGAAGGAAAGCCTCAAGGCACGGTGCTGTTGCGTGTCCTCAAGGCGGTCGAACTGGACACTACGGGGCACTGCTTCACAGGGGAGTTCCTGACGGCCTCTGATCCGCACTACCGCTGGTGGATGAAAGAAGGCGAGGGCAAAGGACTGCGAAAGACTTGCCATTACCACTCTTGTGGAGTGCGAGCAGATCAATGCCCCTACGTCCGTGGGCGCAGCAAGGTCGTGCACCTGGAAAGGATTCGGGTGATCAGCAGCAAGGAGTGGAAGGCAGGAATCCCTGAGTGGTGCTTCAAGCAGCCGTGTAAGAAAGATGTTGAGGCTTTCCATGACAGGTTCAAGAATGAAAAAGAAGGAGAGCCTCAGGGCATTTTGTTACCCTGGGCTGAAGCCGAGGTGGACGAAGAGTCCAGTCCTGAGGAGTCAGAAGGCGAGGGAGATGATACCGCTGCCAAGATCGCCAAGCTCAAAGCAGAGTTGAAGGAGCTTGAGGCCAGGCCGAAGACGGGAAGAGATAAGAAGAAGGGAAAAAAGAAGAGTAAGAAGCTGGAGGAGGCCAAGAAGGCAAACAAAGAGGCCAAGCGCCGTAAGGCCAAGAGCTCAGGTGACTCTGGGAGTGAGGCTCAGAAGAAGAAGAAGAAGAAGAAGAAAGCCAAGAAAGACAAGAAGGCCAAGAGAGCCGCCAAGGCCTTGAGGAGTTCCAGTGACTCCAAAGACAACAAGGCCGAAGGTGTCAAGAGGCGCAAGAAGGGACAAGAAGAGAAAGGACGCGGCAGCTCACCTGGGGATGATTCAGATTCCTCAGAGGTAGATGAGCTATTTCAGAGAAAGCCATCAAAGAAGAGCAGCAGAGACATCTACCCGAAGCACGGTGATCGAGGACCTTTTGGAGCTGGCGTGGCGATGGAGTTTGGAGGAGATGATTCTTCAGAGTCTGACGCAGGGTCAGTTTTTCGCGATGCCCCCGCTCCGCAGCACAAGTCAGGGCAACTGGCTCTGATGACCTACAGCCACAGAAAGCCGGGCAGGTTGGCGGCCCGTTTGCTGATGAAGATGAGAAACGAAGTGGCTATGGGCGCAGCGGGGGCTCCAAACGACCCAAGCGAGAGGACACCTCCGACAGGAGTGCAGTATCTCCGCACAATTCTTCTCCCCCAGCTGGGGTCAAAGGCCAACCTGAGGACGCAGAGGGAGTTACGCACCCTGATGGTGTCGTTGGACTTGCTGGCAAGGAACTGCCCGGCAAGGGCAGCAGACGTGATCTGCCAGAGAGTGAAAGCGTTGGAGAAGGCCAGCAACGAAGGAAGTTGGACCAGCGCTCAATTTCTGGAGTTGATTCCAAACGAGAACGCCAGCCTTCTCGAAAGGGACGAGGAGGTCTTCATCAACAAGGAGGCCCTCTTGGAGCAGAAGTTGAAGAAGAAGGAGCATCCAGGTCCCGGGAAAGGAGGAGGTCCCCGCCCGGATCGGAAAGGAGAGAAGGGAAGAGGCAAGGGCCCGAAAGGGGAGGACAGCCAGAAGGGCCGAGGGAAGGACGGCGACAAGGCGAAGTGAAGGAGACTAAAGCGTCACCTGCAGCAGCAGTGGATCCGAAGTGGCCGATTACCCTCAAGTTCAAGGAGTTCGGAGGCCAGTCGCGCAGCATGCCGGAGGTCTTGGGACAAGTTTGGAGGCTGTTGCCATCCATGGGGACACCATTGGGGAAGGACCCGCGGGTTGGAGCTTCTTCCTCTTAACCCCATTGCTGTCTGACAGGTTCAACTTCGAGCCGGCCATCCAGGAGGCGCTGAAATTGCTGCTGCATGTCCTGAACTACTTGTCAATGGGAGGACGTGACAACCCCACTGCGGACTTTGCCATCCCTGACTCCCTTTCAAGTGGCCAGGTTTGTATGTTGGAGCACCTGGGCGAGAGGCTTACTGACCTGGGTGAAGAGGCGACCCAGTGTGCCAAAGTCGCTGAGAGCAGCCTGATGCTAGGCAAGGCCAGATTCGACTATGCTGGAGAGCCATTGCAGGTCATGGAGCCCCTCATTGCCGACAAGGTGATTCCAGTGTGGCCAAAGATTGGGGAATGCGTGGTCCAACCAGTCACGGACTTTTTACCGTCTGAAATGGCCGAGATGTTGGAAGATCCTGCAAACTGTTTGAAGCCCCCTTGGGAGTGGCCGGAAGCTCCCCACAAGAGCAAAGTTATGGCAACACAAGAGGAGTGGGACAAGATCGTAGCGGCTGGTCACGCCCGAGGGCTGATGGTAGCAGTGGCGCAGGATGAGGTCTTCAGAGACAGCATGGGCAACATGGTGCTCAACGGTGCAGGAGGCGTTCGGAAGGTCAAGAGGATTGGAGGAGAGGAGCGAGTTATGCAGCGCTTTATCTCCAATTTGATTCCCTCCAATGAGTACCAGGCCCATCTGGGCGGGGGAGACAAGTTCCTGCCGTACTTGGGTCAGATATCACTCTTCCAGATGGATGACTCCGAGATGATGCTGGTAGATTCGGAAGATTTTTGCTCTTGCTTCAACTTGTTTTCCTTGCCGGAGCCATGGAGGAGGTACATGTGTTTTGAGAAGACCGTGGACGGTGCGGTTTTTGGTCTTACCCCGGGAGTCCGGGTGTTCCCAGCCATGGCGGCGGTCCCAATGGGCTGGCTCAATGCGGTCTCCGTGATTCAGTCTGTGGTGAGGACTCTAGTGTTTGAGGGCGCCAGCGTGCCAGAGGACAGTGAGGTGGCAAAGATCAAGCGCATGCCCACCACTGATGATCTTACTGTCATCTATTTGGATTCGTATGATGAAGTCCGCCGTCTTGATGCTCAGTGTGCGGAGGCACTGGAAGGAAAAGCTTCTGCGCGGCATCTACGCTTCAAGAAACTCTGTGAGGAGAAGGGCCTGCCCCTGAATGACGCCAAGCGACTAGTGGGAGCGACGCGGGGCTGCCTTCAAGGAGGAATGCTTGATGGCAAGAAAGGCTGGTACAAGCTAGCAGGTGAAAAGCAGGTCGACCTTATCAGCCTAGGAATGAGCATGCTTACCCTCTTTGAGTGGAAAGAATTTGAGATCAGACATTTTGTTGGAAAGGCAACGTTTGACCTCTTTTGTCCATCATGGAGGGCATCTTCGATGACTTGCGAGTAGCGATGTCAGCGGGTGCCTTGCAGTCCATCAGGCAGGGGTCTTGATGAAGTGATCATGCTCATGGCCACCACCTGCCTTATGGGGTCTTCATTGAGGGCGAAGTTGGACCCGGAGATCAGTTGTTCTGATGCCTCACCCACCGGTGGTGGTGGTGCAGTTGCCACTGAGTTCATGCCGGAGCCCTTCACGGTGCAACATGAAGGCCAGGAGTGCTGGACCTGCGACCGGCAGTTCAGGCATGAGCAGAGGTATCCTTGCCCTGCGAATTGCCGGGCAGCCTTCTGCAGTCTTGAGTGCATGTGGAAGCACAGGGACCCAGAACTGAGGCATGAATCCCGTGCGTGTGTGCGCGGCAAGTGGCACCCACCAAAGTTTGGAGAGCGGTTTTCGGGTCCTCATGCCCCATTGACCCATGCAGTAGCCACCATGGGGTGCATTGAGGTGCAGAAGCCATTTGACATTTTGATATTTTGTCGGGCGATGGCATTTTCACGGAGGAGGGGCGCACCAAGATGGAAAGCCTCACGGATGATCCGTGGCTCTACTGTGAGCATTGGGCGCCAGAGTGCCGTTTGTTTTCAAAGGCCAGGGGGAAACCCATAACTCTCAATGATGGCCGTGTCATCACCGGGCCTCGTCCCGTGAGAGACGCCAGGCATGTCATGGGCTTCAGCAACCTCAATGGTGAGATGAAAGCCAGACTGCGGCGTTCCAACAGCATGGCCTTGCGAGCCCTGAAAAGAGGAGAGGTCACAGTGAAGCATCGGTCTCCCCGCCACTGGACGCTGGAGCATCCCTATGGAAGCTGGCTCTGGGAATTCACTTTGGTGAAGAAGCTTGAGGCGGCGGGGTTTGATCACGCAGTGGGAAGCAGCTGCTGGAAAGGGCTGATGGAACCTTGCATTACCCAACGGAGGAGGAAGCAGAGTATCCGTGGAGTTTATGTCTGGCCTACGCACGAGGCCTGAAGGCGCAGGTGGAGAAAGAGAAAGTGTGGGCCATGGCCTACCAGGAGGCCAGGGAGGGCTGGTATCAGAACCAGCTGGCCAAGAGTACCCAGCGACTCCAGAGTGAAGAAATTTCACGGCCAATGGCGAAGTTCTTGGCTCGTTGGGAAAAGGAGATGATTCGAGGGGAGGAGCTGACTCACCTCCGCCAGGATCTTTTCTTGTCAGCCTCAATGCGAGGAACTGGCATCAGGTTTCACATGACCCTGGGGATTGATGATTCCCCCCAGGAGATTCCATATCCTGCCTTGAGGTGGAGATGGCAGACAGTGACATCCTACCCATGGAAGCAAGAGGCTCATATTAATGAGCTTGAGTTGAACGCCCTGGTGGTCATGTCCAAGCACCGAGGGCGCAGCGTGGATAAGTTTCACACCCGCTGGCTGCACGTTTTGGATAGCATGGTCTCTCGAGGCGCAGTAGCAAAAGGTCGATCCTCCAGCAGAAGGTTGAACAGGGCACTCAAGAAGCACGCGGCGGCAATGTTGTCACAGAACAGCTACTGCTTCCCTCTGTGGACAGTAAGCCAATGGAACTTCAGTGACAAGGCTTCCAGAAGACATGGGTAAAAAGAAATTACACCTCCGTTACGTGGGGTTGGAGCCCCGCACGCTACGTGCTTACCGCCAGGCCCTTGACAACTTTCTCAAATTTTCAAAACAAAAGAGTCTCAGATGTGGTTCGTCCAAGAAGCTGGACCATGCTATCAGTGAATTCATCAATCACTCCTATCAAGAAGGAGATCCAATCTCCTATGCAGGCCATTTATTGTCGGCCATCAAGCGTTTTCACCCTGAATTCAAACTGAAGCTGCCTCTTTCTTCGCAGCTTTACCGCAACTGGGTTCGCTCTTATGCCCCAGTGCGCGCTACTCCCGCTTCATGGGACTTGGTTGAGGCCATGATAGGTCAGGCCCTTGCCAGAGACCAGTCGCAGCTTGGTTTGCTATTGGGGCTGGCATTTCATTGCATGCTCCGAACCAGTGAGATGCTATCTCTCACCCATGCTCATGTAATGGTGCATGATTCACGCACATCGCTGAGTGTGGTGCTTCCAAAGGCCAAGACGTCAGCTGGCAACCCACAGGTGTTGCAAGTGGATGACCAGACTCTCGTGGACATGGCCATTGCCACCGTCCGCAAGCGATCAAGGAGTGCACTGCTCTGGACAGGCAGCCAAAGTGCATTTCGTGAGACTTTTCAGAGCCTTTTGGAGGGGCTAGGATTCCCTGCAGGCAGTTACCTACCATACTCTCTCCGTCGTGGAGGAGCCACATGGTTTTACCAAGCCACCTTGTCCCTTGACGCAACGGTGATTAGGGGCCGCTGGAGTTGCAGCAAGACCGCCCGTGGGTACATTGACTCCGGCACGCTGCAGCTGGCCCATTTAACATGGACTGCAAAGCAGGCCAAAACCGTCCAAAAGTGGAGACTGAAAGGAGCTCGGTTGCGGCTTCGCCAGATGCAAAAAGACGCGGTACTGACTGAGTGAGCCTGAGTGGACATATTTGAGAGGTGGGGTCCTTACTCCCCTTTTTACGGGTCTTTACCCCATTTTTCTCGGGTCTTTACCCCCCTCTTTCTTTTTGTCAAACTGGATTGACTGAGGCCTTCTTTAGGGCAAGCAGGGTCCTTCTTTAAGGATTTATCATTGTTTCGTTACCGGTTCTTTACCAACATAATGTTGCGTCGACTTACAGGTCCTAACCTAACCGGATTAATTTGGGCAATTTTCCGTTCCAAGCTGAAGGTATGACTAAGTACATGCCTCAGTCAATTAGCAACCACGTGGCACTCCGATTGAAAAATAAAAGTGCTGCAATGATATTATTCTGAGTGGTGTTGAATGAGCCCAGTAATAGCATGAATGAGGGAGTGAGCAACGATAGTATATCATTGTTTTGTATTTGTACAGCCTTTACGCTCCCCCCCACTATCCAGCCCTCTTTTACCACCACGTACGGTGCGAATGTCTTGAGGGTCGGTTCTTGAACCTTCTCCTTCCTGAGGCCTTCTTTAGGGCAAGCAGGGTCCTTCTTTAAGGATTTATCATTGTTTCGTTACCGGTTCTTTACCAACATAATGTTGCGTCGACTTACAGGTCCTAACCTAACCGGATTAATTTGGGCAATTTTCCGTTCCAAGCTGAAGGTATGACTAAGTACATGCCTCAGTCAATTAGCAACCACGTGGCACTCCGATTGAAAAATAAAAGTGCTGCAATGATATAGAGATATAGAGATATACACATGGATGGATGTATTAACACTCCAATATGTCCAATATGGCAACTTCAATAAAGAAAATGCGGGCAAGTCAAGCCATCAGTTTGATTTGGGGGCACTTTGTTTTAAGACACATTGGTCTTTGCTTTGGAGTGGGGATTTCGCCCAGTTGGTGCGGTCCACTCTCATCAAGTGCCGCTGCGAATGAAACGCCGTTCCAAGGAAGTTGAGAACTATGCCCAGCTGCTGGAACAGTGCCTTTTCTTGAAGCGGTCCAGATTCAACGCCAGAACTCTTGAATTTTCGGTCTGTAATGGACCCAAATGAGTCCCAGAGCTCATGCTCCAACAGATTGCGACACAGTTTCACCACAGATGCCTGTTCGAATTGGCACAGTCCTGTTGTTTGCACACCATAATGCTGGTGTGACGAACTTAGACTTCTGCCAAAAATGGGTGTGTTGGTCTGTTGTTTTTTCGATCTTCGCAATGAGTTGCGGTTGTCCGCGTCGTCCGAGCATCGAGTTTCTGTCCCCAAAATCTTCGCAAAAAACCTGCAGGGTTCTGTGGCTCTAGCGGGAGCCGAAGTTGGCCGACTGCAACATCCCCAGCCATGGCGCCCTCAGTGAATGAGGCGCAGCGGATGATCGATGAGCTGCTGTGGAAGGCAGCGCAAAACAACGTGCCTCAGGCTGGACCGAAACTGGGATCATGGCATTGGCACCGAAAAACGGCTGTAGCATGTTCTTGTAGCAATGAAATACGTGCCTGGAAAATCTCACAGGTATGGGTCAGGAGACAGAACAGTGCCTGGATTTGCGCTAGAGTGTGCCTCCCACATGTTGTATTGCTGGGGACACCGTGAAATTTTATCAGCTTCAGAGGGTTGGCAGACGGTTGTTGTGTTTTGGTTTTTCTCCCACGCGCTGCAACATCAGGTCATTGAAGATTTGATTCAAAAGCACCAAGCAAACAAGAATCAGGCGGAGCGGGCCATGGTGTACTTGGTGGTGGGTTTGGGCAATCTTGGCCATTCAGATAGCTCAACCGGCTCAACCCGTGTCGTTTGGTTAGAAATTGCAATTCTACACCAGCTACGTGCCAGTTCCTTTCTCCGCAATATTTGATTGAACTGCCACAGATCTTTTGCTTCCAGTTGTGGCTGCATCATTTGGTTGCCAAGATCTTTGTGCATCTTTGTGCGAGAAATGCTCAGAGGCTTTACCCCCAGGCCATCAATAATTTGCCAGATTCGCAGTCCCAGTGCAGTCCCTCTTCTTTTACGGGCTGACTGGTTGTTTTGGCAGACTTTTTTCACCTGCTCGATGGAAACAAAGTTGATCCTAGTTCTTCGTATTTGGGATTTATCCGATGTTGTACTCCCTCATTAGCTTTGCCGTCCCACCACATTTTAGTATCCCAAACCTGTCTTCCTGATGTCTTTTGGGTGTGTCTAATCAATTCCTAAGTGCACAGTGGGCACCATTTGCCGACCTCACCCAGCACCAGGTCAGCCCTTCTGGGCAGACGCTGCTACATCAAGCTGCCCAGAATGAGCAGCACGCATTGGAGGTGCAGCGCGGGGTTGCGGTGGAGTTTGTACCATTCAAACTATTCAAACAATGGCTGACCTGAATTGCCCAAGCCACAGATTTTGGTCAGTTGCAGCACCAACGGTTTATGTTTTTCGGTCCCCAAGTTTGACCCATACTGATCCTCCAGTTTGCTCGGACTGAGGTGAGCCAGTTGCTGGTGAAGCTAGGTCTGAAGGCCACCGATGTGGACAAGCACAACCAAACGTCCATATTCTATGCAGCCAGGGATGGCAATGCAGAATTGCGGCTTGGCTGTGGTCGGGTTTAGTCAGGTTTGAACATCTTCCAAAGTCACAAAGTTTGTCATCGTTTTGCACATTACAGTTTTGGGATGTACCACAACACATTAAAGTTGGAATTTTCCACCCACAATTTTGCCTTGTTGTATGAGTGATATTATATGTGATACCACTCAGTGCAGGGCTCACGTTGAGGTGCGAGTTCCTTCTTCAGCACGGTTGCATGGTAAACCACATGGACACGGGGCTGCAGACGGCGATATTTTACTCCGCGCGTAACGGCCACGTCTCTTGGTCCAGGATCGGTTCATGGGTGGGCCTAAGCAGCTGCATAGCCAAGTAGCCTAGTAGCCAAGTACATGCTGACATGCCATTGGCAATTTATGCTCGGGATTTTCATGCCCCAGAACAAGTTCAGCACTCGTAGGAGTTTTGACCCCACGCATCACCTTTCGGATTCATCACGGGGGAACTTGGACCCAAAATTCTGGGGCGTTAAGCTCGTTTTCTGAACCAAGATGGCGGCAACGGACGTCTTCCTAAAGCGCGGGGCCAATGTGGAAATCAAAGATAAGAGGGGCTTCACGCCCATCTTTTGGGCGGCCGAATCTGGCCGCGTGGATACGATGAGACTCAATTGAAAAACATCAGAGGTTTTCGTGGCACATGGACGTTTCCTCAAATGGGGGTAACCAGGTAACCCCAAATCAGCCAAAATTGTGAGTCGTTCCGGTCCTTTACCAGTTCAAACGTGTTCAATGACCTCATCCTGCAGTTTTATGCAAGGAAAAAGCTGATTCAGAAGGGTGCCAACACCAAGCACCTGAGTACCATTGGAGGTGACCTTTTCACCTCTGCTACAGGCTCTCATTTTTTTTGGGGGGGTTGTTGTGATTTTCTTGGCAATGACCCCTCTGTTTGTGACCTGACCACTATGAGTACGTCTCGGACTCCTCCATGGTGAGAGATTCGTTGATTTGACGTTCTTCTGATTTTCTGCTTTCTGCCATTCCTTTCTGGTGAGATTTGGGACCTCAGTGAAAGAGACAGAATGCGCAAGACTGAACCAACAGATAAACGGACAGTGTACAAAGAAAAGAGATACGACGGTTTTTTTGACAGTCACCTCCATCTTTAGTATTATACTAGATTGAATTCATGTAAACGATACGGACAGACAGACACACACACACATAATATATATACATGTATATATATATATTATAAAATATGATATAATATACATAAACCGTCATAATTATATAACATACACACACACATACTGTATATAATATGACGCATGACATAGCATAATACAATACAATAGACTACAATGCAACACAACACAATACAATGCAATGAAATATAAGATATAATATAAATATATATATATACACTGCTATAATAAATACAGCCCGGCTGTAATACGATATCATACATTTGAGATGGAACTTTGTGCCAGCTTGCCAGGTGAGGCCATGAACTTCTCCGTGAATGAGCTGGGAGCAGACCCGCGCCGCAAATTGATCAAAAATCAAACCAATTTGTTTGTGGCTGCCAAGCGTGGAGATGTCGAGAAAGCCAAGGCGGGAATCCCCATTTTTTTGCGGAAAATGATTAAGAATGACATAGACGGCGGGAGGATTCCGGACCCTTGGGCCTGTGGCGTGTTGCAGACATGTTGATGCGTTGCAACACATTGGTGTCCCTGTCCGTGTACTTTGTATCCTCCTAGATTTGACCTGGACAGGTCCTGATTGAGACCTATGGCCTTGATGTCAATCATCAAGATGAGAACGGACAGACCTGTCCCTCGGCATGTGAAAGCAGGACTTCAAACGCTGAGAAGTGAGGTTAACTGAGGTTAACCGAGGTTAACCATTGAGCATTGGTTGATTCCCGGAAACCCAAACAACCGTGAGGCTTTGTTTTTCCCAAACATGTTTGAACAAAGACATCGTTGCTAGGTTTTTTGGGCATCTTTCAGGTACATCTACGTTTGAGGTGAATGATTCAACTGGCCATTCAATGTCTGTGTTTATTATAACCGCCTATAGAAGCCCCAAACCATCCCAAATTCAACTTTTCGTTGGTCAAACTTAACACCCAGCGTTCCTGCAAAAAAGGTCGCCAACCATCCATATCTCGGGAATAGCGGAATCTTGACCCATCCCCATCTGAAGGGAGGCCGAACAATGTCAGAAAAGATCTCGCAGATGAAGTCAGTGATGCATATCGGTATCACAGGGGAGACGATCTCCGCATGTCACTCCAATGGTTCACGTTGTTGAAGAGTCTGCTGGAATTGCTGGCCTGGGATTCGCACTAACAAAAATCCGGTCTTTGGTGTTGTGTCACGCTCTTGCTAGTCATGTATATCGAATCTAATCCATCCATCGGGCACACCATGGATTGAGGCCTCTACTATGCTGCTTTATATGGAGGAATCGTTGTCACGCAAAAACTAATTCTGCAATTCAAAGCAGATGTGTTGATTAGAGATACTCGGCTTGGAGGTGACTTGATGATGGCTGCGTCAACAACTGCAATGGACTGTCCGAAAATGTGAAGATACCATTGATGGAAACCATTCTGCATAGAGTCTCACAGTCTCATGTTCGTTTATCAAATTGGCAAATTGAGGATCTCTAGCAATTTGACCACATTTGAACTGGATATTGCAGACTCTTCCAATCGCAGTGTGGTGGCCTTGTGTCATAGCTCTGGCTTAGGACAAGAATGGAAAGACTGCCCTCGCGTTCCTTCAGCAGAAGCCGAAGATAGAACAGAATCCGCAGATTCTCAAGTTGCTGCAGCTTGGCTGTGGGACAAGAGGTGTGTTACTTTGCGAGTGCTTGACTGTTTGCCCAAAATGGTTTTGGAAACAAGTAGGGCATAAATGGATCATTCCTGGCTTTTAGACTCACTCTTGCAGGTAGGGTCCCCAGCTTCAGCCCCTGATGTTTCATTGCTTCACGTCCCTGGCCCTTGGGCCCCAGGTCGGATGCCACAAAAAAGCAGCACAAGGCTCTAGAGGAGGCTCAGAAGAAGGAGCGTGCTGCAGCGGCGCGGGAGCAGAAGAAGCGGGAGCAAGAAGCCAAAGCCCGCAAGAAAGCGGAGGAGCCTGGCATTTTTGGCGGAACCAAGGTGTGATTTGAAATGAACACTAGTGAACCACCAACAAAATCACGTGGTAGATGATACAGTACCATTTTGTGAGGGAGTTGTCCTACAGCACTTTTCACAGCTCAAATGATTTTGGACGGAACAGGAAAAACCGAGGCATGTATAGCCAACAACTAGAAAGTAGGTTTTCCCTCCAGCGCTGGGGAAGGCGGATGGAAGCATGAAGCAACCCCACCAATTGGGAAACAAATGAGAGATGCTTAAGCAAAAAACAGTTCAGCTGCTTAAGTACACTACGTGTAGAGAGAATCCAGAGATGATGTGGGTGTTCGTTGGGGATAAATGATGTATAGGAGGTTTGCTGTGGATCACTAAATTTCCTAAGATGCAATCTCTATGAATGACTCCAGTATCATTCCAATAAGACCGAGGGCAGTCACAGCAGAATCAGATCAGTGGGTTGATAGATACGCAAGGGTGACTAAATTGCTATGCAAGAAAATCATGAAGTACCTGCAGATCCCTGCAGGTTCTTTCCGAATACTGATCCTACCCCAAAAAAGGGTGTGTGACACCCTTTTTTGTTCTCCAAAGCTCTGATTTTTTATTTTGGTTGCTTTATGTATTTTATGTTGCTTTCAAATTCCAAATCTCTTTGAATTAGCCTTTTTCTTATGGAATTTCTACAAGACTTGTCCCAGGCCGAACCGCCTCCCATTCTTCCGCAGCGTTCCCAGGACAAGGCCCGTGCCACTGCTGCAGCCGAAGCCCGACGTGCGCGTGCAGAGGCTGGCGCGTCCCGGAGCTCGCGAACCAACAAGAAACGGTCAGCCAGCTCCGGGGAAAATCCTTCGAAAAAGAGGTGGGGAAAGATGCGCACTGTGTTCGACAATCCTGTGGATGATTTAGTAAAGGGGATTGTGAACCTACCTGTTAGATTGATTAGGGACTATCAATATCCATTACTGGAAGAGGTGGGGAAAGATGGAGAATCTATTCTCTGGAAATCGAACATGACTAGCTGGAAAATAGCCCATTTAGTTCGATGATTTTCCTATTAGAATACCCATTTATAGGGGATTTTCAATTGTCATGTTGAGCACCAGAGGAGATGGAGTTATCTATTACGTTCCTAATGGCTCATATACTTGTACGGCTTTGTATAGAGATCTGCATTAAGGTTTCCAATGGTCAGGTTGATGGGGACGCATCAGGGTGGTTTCTGCTTCTGTGTCACATGTCTGAACCTCCAGAGCCCTTGCCACAGGCAGAAGTATCACTTTGTCTGCTATGACACTGGTCAGGTCGTACCGCGTGACTCTGAGACGCTGAACTATGAAGGGTTGATGTGGGCTTGTCTCAAAATGGGGATATTCATGGATATTCCATATATGATACACACTCCATTATGGCAACTTCAATAGTTAATAGAGAAAATGCCGGTAGATTAAGCCATCTGTTTGATTTGGGAGTACTTTCTTTTAAGACACATCTGCCTTTGCTTTGGAGTGGGGATTTCGCCCAGTCAGTGCGGTCCACTCTCATCCCAGTGCCGCTGCGGTTCATTCAACCGCAGTTCCAAGGAAGTTCAAGGAGAACTATGCCGAGCTGCTGGAAAAGTGCCCCTTCTTGAAGCGCTGAATCTGGACCAATGGACCACCAAAACTTTCGATTTGTCGGTCTGTGATGGACCATGATAGACCAGGATGAGTCCCAGAGCTGCACATGCTCAAACAGATTGGGACACAGTTTCACCACAGATGCCTTGGGGAATCGGCGCCTGCCGAACAGCGAGCGGCAGAAAAGCTTGTGACAGGACGGCTATGGATGTTCAGTTCTAGATTCTAGAGGTCGTTGGGTAGAGCTTTTTGGGGTTCCGAATTCACTCAAGAACAAGCTTTGGTTTAGTGGGCCTGTTCTCTACTGTGTTTTGGAGGGATCAATTTCATTTTCATCATTTGTTGTGGCAATTCTGGTAGTTTCAGAAACTCTGATGCATGCTGATATGCTGATGTCAGAATATCTAGAGTAATCTTCGTGTTGACTTAAAAGACCATGCGTATTACGATCAGTTTGGAGAGTTGATCCGAATTCACTGCATGGCACCGAGGACAAGACGTATTCAGTCATCCTGAAGAGATTGGCTTAGCTGGATCTTTGAGTGCCAAAAGGGCAGTGACTCTTGGTGCTCTGGATGAAAATGGGCTCAGCTGACGACAAAATGCCGAGCCAAAAGGCACGCCTGAAGAGATTCCCGTGGCAATCTTTCATGATCTCCCCATGGGAAATCGTATCAGATCACCAAGGTGCTGGAGCATTTCCTCAGAGGAGTGCTGGTGGAGAACGGAGCGGGGAAGCTCAAGCCATGGATCCGCATGAAAAAGGCCCTCAGTGCGGTAAATGAACCATTTTTCATTTTTCTAAAAATGGTTTATCATAAAGTTTATCCTCATTTTATCTGGAAAAAAACACTTTAAATATCATTCCAGACCTACGTCCGCGCCCGCTGCCTTGCCCGTGAGGCGAAAGGGGAGGCACGGAGAGGCGCAGAGCAACAAAAACCTGGCCCAGGAGGTTTGTTTTTGAATGGGATAAAATGGTGGTTTTTCATGAGATATAATGGTGATTTTTCATGGTGATTTGGTGATGATTTTTGATGGGACACGGTGATTTTTACTGGGATATAATGATGTCTAAAATTGGATACGGACATTTAGTGGGATACAATACAATGGGTTTCAACATGTTTCAAATGAAATTTCATGGGAGATCGCCCCTAGTGATCAAACATGGCTGGGAAATCGGAGAACACCAGCCAGTTTGGATGGGTATTCGCGTCAAAACATGATTTGTAGTAGATATGATGTAAGATTAAAACATGAAAGACGTATTTATCAGTATTTGCAGGAACAAAAGTGCTTTTTTTAGATATATGAAATGCTTATGCTGCAAACAAATCAACAGCATCATTTTTTGTTTGTTTATTTTTGTTTCAATCTAACACGTCAGAGACATTAGTTGTTACTTCATTTTTTTTTAATGTTTTGATGGGAACTTCGTCAAAGTAAATGATGGATTTTCCGTTGCAAAGTCCTTGGAAACCTGGCCACCAGGTGGCGACGTCGAGAGGCGGGGAACTGGTTGCCATAGTGATTGGAGGTGAAAACAAACCGCAACTCGCGGGTTGAAAGATGCTGAAAAATATTGGAATGCACCTCTACTCTGATCACTTGGTGTTCCTATTGAATTACAGTTGTTTGTTTTTTTTTGCTTAGTCAGCTTTTTCATTGTTGCGACTCACATTTCTTTGCAATTGTCCAACTAGGCACATGAATGTGTCACAAAATCAGCCACCAGATATAGGAATATTGGCCATAGGCAAGAGGAATTCTACTATCAAACATTTGAGGGTTTTAGACCAGAAACCTGAGCATTTGTTGGTTTTTCGTGCTTCGGTGGCAGGTACCTGCAAAGTATTCTTGACTGCGATCTCTCCGCGTCACAGGTTTGAAACTCAGACGCATCGGAAGTCCTTGGAGCCTTGGGCACCTTGGGCACAGGCGTGATCCCACTCTGGACGCCAGGCAGTGCGTCAAATCACCCAAGATCGCAACGTGGCCACATTTGAAGAGGCATGAGAACGGAACATCCTCGATGATTTGATGGGAAGATCATTCGTGCATATCTTGAGGGGATTTTCCCAATTTTCTGGCTATTTGTTGTATAAACTCGGAGGTGAACCTGGGGAGCTTGCGATTTTTTTGTGATATTTTGCCTGCGACAGGTGAAACAGCCAGGCTCCCAGATCACCCCGTGTTTGATCCCAGATGGTCCCACCCAAAAATTATCGAAAAGCAACTCCAGGGTATAGATGATATGGAGGTTTCCTAAGTCATGGGGTACCCCCAATCATCCATAGATGAATTTTCCATGAAAAAATGCAGCGATTTTTAGGGGTACCCCCATTCCAGGAAACCTCCATATGCATCTCATACTTCTCAGCTTTCCAACTTTCTATGGCTCAAGCCTTGGCCATTACTATGCCATTACTATCCAGACATATCAGGACAGTAGCTGGTCGTTTCAAACATCTATAATTTTCATATTAATATGATGTCATGGAGATTGCGGAATATAGAATCCAGAATATATATATAATTAATATAATTATATCATATAGAATCCACAGATCTATGTATAGATAAACACATATATATATATATTTATAAACATGATGTGCATTCTTTTTACCATCGATGATCCCCTCCACAGTGTCACATGAGGTTCGTTCTCCTCGCGGCGAGCGATCGCAAAGACGAAGTGCGGTCACAGGTGCGGCGTGCCACGGCGTGCCACGGCATGCCCCCTGGGGTCCTGTGAATTTTCCACCAAAATGACCCAAGATGCGTGGTTTCTACATGGCTGGCTGAAGCAAAATGACCCAAAATTTTCGTCACAGATGGCTGGCTTCTTGAGTCCTTTCCACAGCCAACCGGGGCCCTGTTGGATGCAGAATGACCAGCCATTGATGTCCCCGTTCGGAGGTGTCAGAACGCCGTGACTCCGAGTTGGGAGTCCTGGAGCGTGACTCCGAAGCTGTCGATTCTCTGGGAAAACCCAGAGGATTCCTAGGTTTTCATATGTTTTCATCCATTTTTGGGTGGTTTCCAAGGTTTTTCAATGATATTTTTGGGCAACGTTTTGACTTTTAAACCTCTTACAATCTTTCCTAGCCCAGCTTGTGATGTTGGACAGTCATTGTGCCACTTCCGCTTGCCAAGAATTGAGGCTGACAGGTACCACAGAGCAATTGGAGGCACTGGGTTTGCCCTACTTTGGGGCCTTCCGGGATACCCCCAGGTGGCTTTCTGAATGGGGAATCTGAGTTGACTCCCATCAAAACATCCATTCATATTATTCAAATATGTGATTTCAAGTGGAATGATGAGAAGCCATGGGATGGATTCTGGGGTATACAGCATTTTCAGACAAACCCTTACAGTGTTGTTCCATGGGCAAACTTCGCAGAATCCTTTGTGACTCAGGTGGAAACGACTGAAGATCCACCAGAAGCACCTGTAGATGAGGCAATCAGCCGGACAGTGACACACCAAGAGATGTACATCCTCAAGCATGTTTGTGTGCAAGATCGAAGTTTTCCCAACAGCACGGCCACAGATTTTGGTTGCTTGGAGAGGCATCTTTTGGTGTCTTGCCCGACCTGCCAAACTTTAAAGGCTCTGCCGGGGAGTGGAGTCCGGCCACCCTGTCATTTCCGGAAATTCAGAGAAGACTTGACCTGGACGATGATGAAAACCCCTCAGTCAGTCAGGTGGGCAAACACGAAATTGACAGTGTCAACCGGTCAACCCATGCCAACCCCATTAATGTGGCCATCCTCATTGACATAAGCCTACCATGCCTACCATTTGGGGATGGTCTTTACAAGCTCTAAACATGGCGACTTGGGGATGGTTTATGGCCTATGTTGGATCCCAGAGACCGATGTGGCAGGAGAAGGGAAGACAGCGACACCGCCCACTGGTAAGAGGGTAAAGGGTCGACTGGTGGGGGGTGCTCAGTTTAGGAGCTTGAAAACTATTGAAGCCTTATAGGTGTGACAAAAGTCTTCGGGGGGATATTCAACATCGATATTGATCATGGGATAATGTGGTAAAGCCCATGCCATAAACCTAGCATTTGGGGATGGTTTATACAAGCCATCAACATGGTGATGACTCGGGGATGCTATATATATATAGATATATATATACTGTATATATATATATAGATATATATACGTACTGTATATATATAAAAATGACTTTGGCTTTACCACATGAGCCCGGAAAACCACTCCCCAGGCAGATCTTTTCGGACTTCTGTGACCGACTGGGGCCTCCTCCGAGTCCTCGGACTCAGGTGACGGGCAGTCGAGCGAAGCATAGCCAGAAGCCTCCGGGGCGAAGCTGAGAGGGTTGAGAGCTGCCGGCCTTTTGCTTCCAAGATGCGGCTGATTGACATAGATAGATGTGGAATGATGTGGATAGTGAGCAATTTTTTTCATGGTGGGCAAAACCTCATCATAAAAAAACATGGGGTACATACATGCCCCATTTTCTACTGACTAACCATGTGCCTGTCTGATTATTGCACCTGGGAGATCCCGGCTGTGGACCGGTTCTGGAGGTAGTTCATCTACAAACGATCCATCTTGCTGTATTGCCGGCCCGATATATCGGGATCCGCATAGACGGAGAGAAGCCAGCATCTTGCCACAGATGGAAGCCGTGAAATAGCCAATTCGCCAATGATGCAGCAAAAGATGCGCTTCGTTCTGTACCACTGAGGGCTGAGCACAGAGCTTGCACGGAGTCATTCATGAACTCCACCGACCATACCGACCCAAGACAATCAATGATTCTCCTGGGGCATGTTGAGTGGTCTGGGTCAAGATCGTGAGTTCATTTCATTATGAGAGAACAATACAATCGTCATAGTAATTGCATGCATGAACTTGTCGTAATCATCAGAAAGTGATCATTATGATTTCCTAATCCCATCATCTTTACCAATCCCACCACATCATAATTAGTTATAGTTGTGATTTACTGATCATATGATGGGACTACGTACGCATCATTATAATGGGTTATAGTCATGATCACCTAATCCCATCATCAGGTCCTGGTCCTAGCTGCCACCCCGCAGGCAGATCATGGCCAGGCGCGTTTGGGCAACACGACCTAACTTACGATGCCTGGGATGCCTGGGATGCCTGGGATTGGGAGAACCTGATTCATCAAGGTCAAAATCAAGATCAAGATCCATCACCAAGCAACATCAACAAACTGATTTGATATGAACCAAGATCAACGAAGTGACTAAAAAAATCCGGGGCAGATGGATGAGAATATAGCGATCTACACCCCTCAGCCAATGAAATGGTGTCCACTTGCCTCTGCAGACTGTCCGATTGAGCAGTGCCCAAGATACCCAGTGGCAAAGTATTGCAGGGCTATACTACCTATATCTACCTATACAGTTCTGCGGGAAGTATTGTTTTCGCCATTCTGCGGAACCCTATAAACCAGCCAGCTATGAAGAACCAGATATGGTCCGCCCATCTGGTCCCTGATGTTCCCTCTGGAAACAGGAGAGGCCACCTGACTCGCCGAGACAGGCCAGGTCGATTTTGTTTTTCGGGCTTTCAACATGAGAAATTCTGACAGTCCCCAAAAATCATACTGTTCCATACGGTTTCATACTGTTTGGGGGCAATTTTCGCCCATAAAATTCCCTTGGAGACTTGGAGACACTTGCCAGATGAGATATGACTCGACCAGCAGTGAACATTGGGGTTGGGTTTCTGCCGTAAAACTCGCTGCCAGAAACCTGACGTCGAACGGCCGCAACCCCAGACTGAGCAAGCAGTGCCCACTAGCCTTGATTTCACTTGTCACCCACATACAATGGTATCTTGCAGATGATTTACCCAGGTAGCATCAAGTGTTTCACCAAAGTTTTGCATTGTGAGAGATCGTTGAAGCGGCAACTGTATTCGACTTCTATTTTGTTGTAAAAGACTTGGATCCTAGTCTTGTTACTGATACACATCCTAACAAGAAGTCCTCACGAATGACACTTCATGCCTGCAAGGACCTCTACTACATTTGTCTTTTTGTGAAGTGCTTGTGAGCTCTTTGAATTCTTTACACTCAAAGATAGAAGCAAAGAGCAGTAGTCATCTCTTTCAATGCTCCGGATTACTTTGAATTCCTCACTGGTTTGATGTTCATTGGATTTTTTGGTGTCAGGAGATTTGGCCTTGTGGCTGCAGCCGTGAGCCTCTTTCCAGAACGCATTGCATCCTGTTTGAGTTGCTGATTCGATGCCCTTTGCGCAGGAGTAAGGCAGGGTCACGAGGTCTGTCCATGAGAAGTTTGTTCAGGAAACCATCGAGGAATTTATGGCAAAGTGTCGAGCGAATGCAACTCAGGGGCTGTGTATTCGATGAGTTGCTTCGTGAGTTGGGGCAGAGGTTGAATGGAAATGGGCTTTGCCTCCTTGTTCGTTCACAAAAATTGCGACTGGGACGTCAAGAAGTTCGGAATCAAAGCTACGCAGCTACTTGGAATTTAGAGTCTCCGGAGCCCGAGACTGAACCGAGATGGCACCTGCAGCACTTGTCCTGCAGAGATCGCCTAGTCGTGGCCCTCCATGTGGCCATGCAGTGCTGTCGTGGATCTCACCATCTCTGCGATGCTGGCAACATCTATCCCTGAGCACGTCCAAATTTTGCGCATAGAGATAGTCTATGATTCGGGAATATTTGACATTATTTGACTGTGTGATTGAATTTGGCACCATGGGCATGTTCACAGTGATGTGCAACATGGAAGGGCGGTGCAAAGCCCACAAGAGGCTAACAGTGACCTGACAATGAGAGCAAAAGGTGAAGGGGCGACATCGATAGAAATCGCTTTGTGACTTTTTGGGCGCCTTTGCGCGTTGTGAGCCGGGTTTCTACTGGTTGCGATGGTATCCAACCAGTGGCAATCCTTGGTTTCATGGTATGCCAAGGATCCCATGGGCCGCCGATAGTGCGGTTTCAACAGCTGCAGGGCACTGAGATTTTTCCAACCGCACGAATCGTCGTTGTGAATCGAGAAGAACTCCTCTTTTATGAGTGGATTCCCTACAAAAATGACATGATTTCGGTGGAATGTTGGGTATCATTCACCATTATTAACATTTATTAACATTTATTAACCATTAATCACCATTAATCAATATTCATTCAAGGGTATCGCATGCGCATAGGCCGCATAGGGGATGACAATCCTGATGTTCTCAGGCCTCCAGTGGTGCCAATGTCAAGCACAAGGACTTGAAGGCGCTGGGGACATGCGGAAATCCACTCATGGCAGTGGGAATCTTCATTCTTCACGGGCAAGATCATCATTGAGCAGTGTTCAAAACGCCTGTTGATGATTGTAGGGGGCTATACCATGTTATACCACCCCTCTTTTTTGGGGATTCACAGCAAATGTTGGATTTCACATTGGCATACTGGTTGTCATCACAACCGGGCGCCAATCACAGCCCAGAGACGTATGCGAGGCACATGAGAAGGGCGACAAGAATGGACACTTGGCATTTCGATGTCGTCTGAGTAGGGGAGTCTGTCTTCGTAACTGGCCATTTATCCATGATTTATCTATGAAAAACGGATAACATGATATAAGATGGGTAGAGAACCAGTAGAACATGTGATATCGCCAATGAACATTTCAGGAACTGATCAATATATGTTCAGTTAAGCAATATCTTACTCTTGTCTTTTCCGCCAATGTTGGATTTTTTTGGGTCCTCCCAACCTTGGGCCATGGTAATCAAACATGGCCTGGAAAATCCACTATAAATGGGCATATTGTATGGGAATATCATTTGTAAATCGGGATTTACCAGATTTAGATATCTTTGTTAAGAGTCGAGTTGTATCTGATTTACGTATGAAACTGGAGATTGACTATGGCCATGTTTGAATTGCCAGAGGACATGCAGTTCAACTTGCAACAAGTTATCGTGGGTAAGATGAGGAGTCTATATCATTTACAACATGTTTTGGTGAGGTCACGTGGGAATTGCTAAGGCAAGTCTGATGCTAGAACGTCTGAGAGGCCAAGCATTGCTGAAATTGCACCTGAACATCTGAGGGGAGGGAACAACACCGTGGTACCATCATTGTATATACGTCATTTTTTGTCATGTCGTCAACATTTAGGGGGATTCGCAACACAAAAGGTAACTTCAACATACTTCAACATCGATTTCAAAACTGACTTTTCCCACTAAAATCACCAATACTGGCCATATCATGACCATAAATTCTGGATTTCCGCCCATTTCTTTTGGAGTTGACCAGTCCCCTGGTAGCCATCGCCAGGACGGACATTTCCTGCACTCACGGGCCTGGTGCTGAGGGAGATCCCGTGGGAGTCTTGCTGGGAGCGGAGGTGGGGTTCTCCATCCAGTTCTCGGGGATGTTTCATTTTAAGAAATCCCAACTTCTTGGGCTAGTGATGACCGTCTGGTTATGTCAAAATAGCTATGGAAAATCACAATTTTTCATGGGAAAATCCACTATTTCTATGGTCATTTTCAATAGCTATGTTAAATTACCAGAGGGTACTTCATATTACTTCCAACATTGGATTTCAGAATTGGCTGCTCATGTCCTGTTGCGGATGTTGCGGACCCCCGTCCTCGCCAGAACCTACCGATGGTGGGTGCAGCCGGTGTCTTGGTATTACCAAGGAGGCCAGGACGTGACTTCCACTTAAGCAAAATCTCCATAATGTAAGATGGAATGATGGAAAGATCATTTCAATCTATTTCAATCTGTTTCAATCTATTTCAACCCATATCAATCATGTGTTCCAACTTGCAGATGTCTCTTTCTTTAAAAGAAACCATAGCATCCTTGACCTGCACCTCCTAGAATTCCAGGCAGGCTGAGAAGGCGCCCGAGAAAGTGCCTGAGAAATCCAGGAAAAAGGCCCAGGTGCGGCACGGAAAATCCATGGGAAAATCCCAGATAAATCAAGACATCTGGTTTGGGATTTATTATGATTCATCATGATTCATCACTATTCATTATGATTCATCAATGTTCATTATGATTCATACAGATGATTTTCATATAGATGATTTTCATATATTTTTCATATATATATATATAATTATATATATAATAATATATATATATAATAATATATATATATATATTTCATATGGATTTGAAGCCTCCAGATGTTTTGGGACAGAGAAGCCATCTCCGGCAGGTGGACTTCACCGATCTTGTAGCGCTTCTGGCCGTGAGATCCTGAGATTGGGTGGTTAGTTCCCCAAGAACTGATGATATGCCATGGGAATCCAGGGGAATCCATGGGTTTTTTCCATGGTTTTCCACCGAATTTTGCAGAGCCATCTCTGGATTCCTTGGTCGCCATCTCGACAGGATGAAGAGCTGGATGGTTGGGGCGGCGCTGAGGCAGGGGTCCCAACTTGATGGAAAATCTTTTTGGTCAGGTGATCAAAATTTCACCATGACCACATATTTCACCAGATCATCATTGAATCATGAATTCCTCATGATATCCCCTGAAAAAACATCATTTTTAGATGGTTGAATCAACCATCAATTTCTCCCCAAGAGATGATAATCGATATTCCATTCCCATTGATTTGTAGATATGGGGGTGTCCAAAAAATGGGGGTACCCCTTAAAAACGCTGGATGTTTTTTTTTTTCAGGGAGAATCCTAGCTATAAATGGATGATTTTTGAGATTTTTTGAGGGTACCCCTATGACTTAGGGAACCCCCATATCCCCTGGCATCCTCATCTATTTCCTTCATCTACCATGGCAAGGAACCAGCCTGGCAGCTCTTTGAGCGTCGCAAGGAGCAACAAAACTTCCATCGGCGTGGCTGCCAAGATAGTCATCCCCAAAAAGACAGAACAGCGTGGCTTCCATCACTTTCTTATTGGTTAAACATGGGAATTGACATTTCTATCATTTCTATCTGTTGAATAAGGGATAACCATGGATAACTGGATAACTTTAAAGCTTGTCTGAACATGGATGCTAAGAAAATCTGTTTCCCCCCAAAATTGACCAACATTGACCCATGAAATCTAGGGCTCTAGGGGTTCACAGCCTCTGTTCGCCGAGGTATGTGGAGGACAGCGGGCGGAGAGAAGCTATGCATAGATATCAGTTCAGATGAACATAGATGCCCTACAAGGTCCTGCACGTTTGCAGCATCTTCAGTTTGTATGTTTGAACTGTATCATATATACCCATCTACGTATCTACGTATCTACGTATCTACGTATCTACATATCTATCTATCTATCTGTCTGTCTGTCTGTCTGTCTATCTGTCTATCTGTCTATCTGTCTATCTATCTATCTATCTATCTATCTATGCACATAGAATCATATATATATATATGTATCTCACCTGGATAGTTTTCGCACCGCCATAGGATTCAGTGGCAAGTGGCGGTGCAGCCGCAGAGCCCGAATTGGATATGGAACAGGCGCAGCGCAGCCTGCAGTTGGCTGATGACTTTTGCAGTGGTATGCTACCCCAAATCTACCCTTGATATATTGAGGATTATCGCAGACTATCATCTCAATCCCTTACAGGAAACATCCGTGTTGTCAAGGGATTTTCCAATCGGCCAAGAATAGGTTTTTGACACTGCTCAGTGCTCAGCTGGTGTCATCCCATCCTGTCTCTGCTTAAATCTTGGTGTCTTCTCGATTTGAATCACATTTTCTCTTCAGTGAAATTGATGAAATTGGTGAAATGCACCAGTTTTGAGTACCTACATCACTGAAAAAACCCATGTTTGAGCAGTTTGAATTACATCACTTATAGTCCCCATTTTTGGTACTGAAGTTGCCAGGTTTCTTGCTGGGGAAACTCACATTCAAGGTTCCCCTGGGCACAACAAATTGTGGCAGGTTCGAACCTTAACATTGGACCAGCCGGCCGCCAAACCATCACAGGCCACAGCTGCCTGAAGGGCTGTTCTTTTATCTTCTTTCTGGGGGGAAATGACGGGGATTTTTGTTGCCCTGGCCCATTTATAGATGATTTACATATTGCCACGGTGATTTTCCAGTTCGCAATGTTAGTCTACAAGATGGTAACCAGCAGGAGTTTTTGTACCATTTTGGGTATTTTTTTCAACAAAGATGAGGATTTTACCAGAGATGTAGCACAAATCATGTTTTTTTTTCCCCAGCTAACATGATGTTACCAGAACAAATGGAGATTTCACCAAAGGAGGAATTGAGCCAACTTTCACCACCAGGGGGACTTCCTCATCAGAAATGTGATTGAAACGGATCAGATTGGAGATTATCACCAGCAAACATGGAGGCATACACCAACAAAGATGGGAATATTTCACCTACCGCAGATGGGTTTCTCTTAAAATAGGGTGCCCCACAATCCAATGGTTTACCATCTTCCCTATATCAACATTGCATAACATTGCTATCTAGAAATTGTTTGGGGTATACCCTATTGTCAGACACATCCCCTAAAGGACATGTTTTCTTCACCACCTCACAGAACTTCAGTTCATCATGTGGTACATGTAAAGCGGCCCCATGAAGCATCGCCACTGTATCAGTGGGATGATTTAAGTCTTTTTTCCAATTAAGCTATGTTAATATCTAGAGGGTTCAGTCTCCAGAATAAACGAAGCAATCAAGCCCCATGTTGGCTGGTCCCCGAATATGGAACCTGCACAATCCAATGGTTTGAAACCTTAGTTCCCCTATTAAACTGGGCATACATTGGGGTATCCCTATGGACTCCTTTTTTCACCTGGTGATATCATCCTAGTGACGTGAACGCCAACAAAAATGGGGGGTAATGGTTGGTTCCACCATTTGAGGCTTCAATAGACATCAATAGACAATCACCAAAAAAATGGGAGATCCCGTGGAATAATCCCAAAAAATCCCAAAAACCCACTCGCTGCTCAGGGTCCAGGCATCCGACAGCTGGCTCAGGAGTGCCAGCCACGGCCGCGCCGGCAGATAGGATATGAATAAATATTAGACATCTATACATCACAATCTATTCCCTCTCTCTCTCAATGTGTTCACATACATACACAATGAATTTGTATATATGTATATGTATATGTATATGTATATGTATATGTATCTGCATATGTATATGTATCTGCATATGTATATATATATACTATACATGTGCTATATATATATATATCCACGCGCACACACACGTCACACGTCACACGTCACACGTCACACGTCACACGTCACACGTCACACGTCACACGTCACACGTCACACGTCACACGTCACACGTCACACGTCACACCTGTATGTATGATACATCCTTCATCTCGGATCAGGAGCCGGCCCGGCGGGAAGAATGTCCAGTGTGCCAAGCCGAGTCCGGTGTGCTCAGTCCGACCGCGGGTTGATGCAACGGAGATGATGGAAACTGGGTAAACTGAGTAAAGCACCGGAAACGTCTGAAAGACACGGAGATGATGGATAAATCATGATAAATCAATTGGGGTTGTCTGAAAACTGGGTAGACCTTGAGACAAAAACCCAAAATTTTGCTGTCGAATGGGGCTAAATGATGAGGCGAAGAGGCTTTTTGCACTGTTCTCCCGAAGAAAATCAGAGAAGCCCAGATCCACTGTCCTTTTGTTCAAGTTTGCAGATTTGGGCATGGGCTCAACCTGTTCATCCATTGGCTCAGGTGGATAGTGGCTCTACGGTGTATGCAAGAGGGAAAACCCCCTCCGGAGAAGGAGGTCGCGAAGACTTTGCATCAAGGGTTGTAGCAGGGAAGGTGATTTGTTCAGCCATGTTCAGTGGGCTAGTCTGGTTGTATGGAACGGTTCTCCAAGAACCCCGGCGGGGTAGATGATGTTAGTTTGATGTGATAGAATTTCACAAAGTTGGGCATGATCACCAGCAAGATCATGGTTTTTGCGATGGTCTCCATTGGGGCGTTCCTTGAACGGGGTATCTGAGTTCTGCATGAATTCATGTTGCACAGTGGGAGTGGGAAATACTAACGTTTCTATAGGTTTCTGGGGTTCTGCAATCTGCAGAGCCAGCGATAGAAGCTTCTGGAAGTCTGCTTTTTGAGCCCATTCACCAGTGGATTCCAGGCACTTGCCCTTCAGCCGGTGAAAAAGCAGACTCTCGGCTGAATCAGATGTTCAGTCCATCAACTTTCATTTGAACTTCATTCGACTCCTGCACTACAGTTCCCGCAACAGGAGGACAGGTCGGAATCTTTAGAGGGTTCGACATGTTTCGATCAGCTTGCTTTATGCTGATTTCCTACGGCTCTTGTGGCAAAACTCAGGCCGAACTCTGCCAAAAAATACCAGAAAATGCACTCCATACAATGTAATTGGGCATGGTTTCAGCCTCAGTGAACGAATCCAGCAGGATGCAGCCCATTGGTTCTGTGAAAGTTCAACTAGGGCCATCCAATATTTTTGAAAAAGACCCGACAGCACCAAGTTGTTCTCCTTTTTTTGGGGGACATCTCCCAAATCCGAGGATGATGGGATACCCCAATGTTTTTTTGGCCCAAAATCTGGTGGGAGGATCCGCAGCCATTGTTAAACTGTTAATCTGAGCAAATTGATCACACCTTGTGGCTGTTGACCATGATGACATTTCTGGATGATATCCCCAAGATTACGGAAGTTAAATCATGTGAAAACCCTATTTCATGGTTCAAACATGTTCAAAAGATATTAGATGATGACATCAATGATGACCATGGCACAGTTCTCCAAGGTTTCAGCAGAACCTTTGCTCCATGCTGTGCTCTTTACGCTTTGATAAGAGCACTGCAGCCCCTCGTCCTTCACCACCATCGCCTAGCTCGGTGCGCCCGGGGAAGCCCCGTGAAGCTGTGAGGTGCGTCCCCCGTTTCCTTTTCAGGTACTGCCACCGCCAATGCCGGATGTTGTGCAGTATTGGAAAAAAGCAGGCAGGGCAGTGACGCAGTCAGTGCACGAAACCTATGGCGAATCAATGCAGTGAGCCATGGGATTTGCCAGGAAAAAGCCAAGGTATTGGCCTCAGTTGCGGCCATTGGCGGTCCCATGTACCCATCAAAATCATCCAATACCAACCCAGCAACCCAGCCATCAGCCAGTGATTGGAATCAATTTTTACCAACCCATATAGTATTTTCACTGAGTGAATCAACATTTCCAAGAACATCTTTGGAGGCTTGCTAAAATCAAGCCACTAAAAAAATCATCCCAGTCATCATAATAGTAATAATGTAATAATAACAATAACAATCATCATCACCATCATCACCATCATCATCATCATCATAATCATCAATCATCATCAATCATCATCAATCCATTGATATTCAATAATTTCTAAGAAAACAACATCATCACCATCATCATCAGGATCATCCAACATTAAGCATAACCGTAGCTACGGAACCGGGGTCGGGATCCCGGCAGCCCCAAAAATGAGGGCCGTGAGTTGGCCGGCTGAGGGTGGATCGGAAAGAAACTTTCAGATGTTTCATATTAATATGAATATATACATGTGTATATATATATATATATGTATGAGGGACCTTTAGGTCATATTATGCATATGCTGGCTGCTCGAGACTTCATAGATTTAAAAGATTTACAAGAATAAAAAGAATTGAAATAATTAAAAGATTTGACAGATTTAAATATTTAATTCTTTTAAATCTTTTAATTCTCCAGAGCTTTAAAAGATTTAAAATATTTAAATATTTAATTCTTTTAAATCTTTTAATTCTCCCAGAGCTTTAAAAGATTTAAATCCCAACAGGTTCCCAGAATCTCACGTCCTTTGGGGATTTAAAATATTTAAAAGAATTAAAAGATTTAAAATATTTAAAAGATTTAAATATTTAATTCTTTTAAATCTTTTAATTCCTCAGAGCTTTAAAAGATTTAAAAGATTTAAATATTTAATTCTTTTAAATCTTTTAATTCCCCAGAGCTTTAAAACATTTAAAAGATTTAAATATTTAATTCTTTTAAATCTTTTAATTCCTCAGAGCTTTAAAAGATTTAAAAGATTTAAATATTTATTTTTTTTAAATCTTTTAATTTTTAAATCTTTTAAAATTCTTGAAGTCTCCAGGATCCTCCAACCATAGGGTCAGCTCACGAG